TTTTGTAATAAAACAGTTATTGATAAATCTGAAAGTTAAAACACTTCTACTGTTATAAAGAACACACACAAAAAAAAATTTCAGTTAATTATTTTCAAAACTTTCTGAACACTTGCTGACCCGTTTGAACATTTTCAAAAAAACTCATTTCGAGTAAAACGCATTTTAAAGTATGACATCTTGCTCAAAGAAATGGCATCTGCTTTTACTATAATACTTGTAGTGTTTGTTATAGTGAACGCTAAATAATAATAATGGTATTTTTATAAAGCTAATAAAATGTGTCCCGTAAAATAAAAACATTTGTCAATTTTCGGCAAAATTCACAATTTTTTTAGGGTAGTAAGATACCTTAAGCATTGAAATCATTTAATCTTGTCTTAACTTGATCATATTTTTGATACTATCTTGAAGTTGTTACATTTTATTACATATTATGTGTTTTCGTTACCTATGAGATTTAATGGTCTTTGAAAATAGTCTGAAATTATTTCATTAATTCTTTTGGTAAAGAAAGCACTTAATCTTTGCATTAACTTACTTGCTTTTATTTTCAAACAAGACAATAGAACCTATGAATGTAAATAAAATGATACTTAATGTGTTAGTCTTTAAAAAGAATATAAAAGTTATTATACATTACAAAAGGAAAAGCCTGTGACCGCTGAGTGGTCATGGTCCCGAATTCGTGGTCAGCGTGTACAGAAGCTAACGCACGTTATATTTGATGAGGTTTGAAGTCCTCAAGCTGGATTATTGTTAAAAATCGGTGAGTGGATTTCCAGCTGAGAAATCGTCCTTGTCACATGATCTTGATTCAAAATTGTGAGCCCTGTTGCCAAGTGTCTTCGGGTAGTTTTGAGAAGTGCGATTCTATAAAAACCAATTGATGATGGAAACAATGTGCACACACGCGTATCTTAATCGAAATAAAGGGTTTAACTTATTTTTCAATTCCTACTATCAGCTCATACTCTCTATATATTCATTTATTTATCTTGGTGGAATTATAATAAATAAAAAATAAAATACATTTTAAAGCGCTCAAGTGAGCTGAAATTTTATATACATGATTCTTTTGGATGGCAATACAATAATTTAATTATAATTAATAAAAATTAGTTGATTAAAACTAATTATTTAAGGGGTCATAGGACCCTTAACAGATACCCGTGCACTCGAAGAAAACATCCTTCTTCTAACCAGTGTAACTTAGCAATAAAACAAAACAATATTTTGAAATTTTTACCACGATAATCATATATATTTACATTATTTCTAAAATTTTCAGAAAATTTGAGAAAAAATTAAAAAAGTTATTAAGAAATAAAATTTGGTCAATTTTTCAAAAATATGAAAATTAGCATTTTACAGCGCGCAGAAATCTGAAGAACAGAATTGATCAAAATTCACAAAATTAATTTTATTTGATATAAAAATGTTCCTTTTTGAACTTATACACACTTTTAAAGCATTTAGAGAACAAAAATATTTTTAAAATACAATTATGAAGAAAATTTTAAAATTTTATGAAAAAATTCAATTAAAACACAAATAAAAAAAATTATACAAAAATTTGTTTAAAATTTTTTGTATATAAGTTATAAAAAACCTTATTTTGAACATGTGCATGAAATTTCATATTGATATGATAAGTAGTTTTTGAAAAATTCTGCGCGCAATGCAAAATTTTTCATTTTGAGAAAAATGAAGTTAAAGATAAAAAATAACAAAAAAGAAAATTAAACATACCAGTATGCTTTAAAAAGTCCCAGCCGCATAAATATTGCCCTCTGCAAGCTTGCATTGCTCAATTTGTTTGAGTATTTTAAGTGTTTTAGCTTTACGAGCTTAAAAGGAGGTTTTAGAAGCTTGTCTCTTAGCCGTTGACTTGCGCACTTTGTCAATATTTACACAATTCAAAACATTTGTTTTATTTATTTTTAAATTCAAAGCACGCATCAGATCAATTCTGTTCTTACTTCCATCATTGTATTCACATGCAGCTATAAATGCAGCTATTTTTGTGACATTAATTCCTGATAAAATCAATTTCGGGCTATACACTTCCAAATCAGTGAATTCAATGACTCATTAGCATTTTGAGTTTTCCCCCCTAAACACCTTCTTAACAATTTTAAGTGTGATTAATCTTTAAAAACAGGTTTAATCACTTCAGAAACTGCTTTTGGTAAGGTGTTCTTGTGAGAAAATTCATTCACTGTATTGTTGTGAACCGAAACATTGTACTTACACCAGCTATTTTTGCTTTTTGGGTAAAACCAATGTTTAGGCTCATCATCTGTACTGGATGTATGAGCCCACACAGCTAGACAGCTTGCCTCATCTCATTCACATTATGGGAGTTGGCACGAATAGCATTGCCATAAAAAGTCATCAATTTGCTTATAATAGCATCGGTTAGGCAACCTTTCCCACCAATTGTTTTCCCATCGGAAACCTTCTTTTCCCCCCGTAAAGCTTTCAACTTCCGCAAGCGGTTACCCATTTGCTTTTAGACATGGCCACCACACTCTATTTTTACAATGGGAACACTATCCCCATATGGTTCTTTTTCAGCAATAGACAAAAATGTCTTTGAGTCACCATCACCTGTGTATCGCTGATACTTTAATCCATGTTTTTGTTCTGATCGGAAAAAAAATTTCTGCATTCCGCAAACTTTCATTTTCCCAGCAGATCCGCTATGGTTTTTTCTGCAGAAAATGTGATGTTTAGCCAAAAAAGCACTATATTTTGGTCCAAGCTTTGGCCCTTTATCGGAGTCACATCCTTTGCAATAAGAGGACATGACTTCCATGTCGAGAACTTTCCCGCAGTCAGCTCCAATCAATGCACAGACTCCAATAAGTGAAGTATGCCCACGGGTCTTCCAGGTCCCATCACCGTTAACTATAACAGAATTTACGGTGCCATCAATAATTTTTTCCTCAGCAGCAGCTTTCTTCATCGATGCATTTGCAAGCGCTTCACTTATATCAGCTATCTTTGCATTTATTCTGTCGTAAGCTTTCTGAGACACTGGATTTGGCAAACACATAAGAGAACAAAACGTCTCGAGCGAAGACAACAATCCTTGGCCTATATAGCGCATGGCCAAAACAGACCGTCTGTTGATATTTCAGGTATATTTTTTTATACCAATCAATTCACAGGAATTAAGTTTTTTTTTCAATGCTACATTTTCTGCATGTGAACTGAAATATGGAAAATAATCCTACAGTGGATTTTTCACTCATTTTTATTTTGCCATAACACACAGAGCAACTAAGTAACTTTTCAATTTGGGAAAATAATAAACTAATGTCGATTAGTCTATAACCTTGAAACTCAACTGAAACATCATTTTCGTAAGCTTCTGAAATCTTGTGTGCACTTGGCAATTTTTTCGCCGATGAACTTTTGTTTGGCGAAATATTTTCAAAAGAAATAATACTTTTTTCAGACAGAGATTTCTTCCGATACATGTTTCCTTGAAAATTTTTTCTTCTTTGGTCTCTTTCCGGATGAAGTTTTTTTCAATGGAACATCCATGTTTAAAAGCTTTCAATAACAAATGAAAAATAATGCTAATCCAAAATCGAAATGTAAATAAACAATCCCGCTTGGATTAAACGAAGTTAAAAGTTGAGTTGTAGTTATGCTACTCCCGAAATCAATTTGATATTAGGTGTGGCTCTTTTAATAAAACTAATCGGCGAAATATTAAAATGTTTGGAATGTGTTCTGACAGATGTCAAAAGTGGGCGTGGCAGATGCAAGTTTTTGTTTACGTGTTACTAGTTATTTCTCAATAACTTTGGAAGTTTTCACAGTATCAACACAATTTTGGTTGCAAACTGCTCAGAAACGTTGAGGCTTTAACATATATTTTTTTCAAAAAATCGAAAAAAATGAAATTTAAGAGTCCTATGAGGCCTTAAAGAATTAGAAATACAGGCACGTTGGCATCGTTTCTGGCGACTTAGCGACCCTTTTGGCGAATTGTGTCAAAACTTGAAAAGGTTTTTTTTTCACATTTTAAAGCATTCAGTTGAACTGAAATTTTATATACACGATTGTTTTGGATGACAATACGATACTTTAATGATAATTAATAAAAACTAATTACCACTTAATGTTGTGATTCTGTCCTATGTACATATATACACATTTATATTAATTGTAACTATTCAATAAAAAGTAGCTAAAATAAAAACTTTCTTTGTTGATCTAAGTAGGAATTGACTTAATTTTTTTTATATTACTTGTTTTTATTAAAATCTATATACATATAAGAGAAAAGTAACTAACGCATCACTAGATCTCGAAAACTATTAGACATACAATCTTGAAAATTGGAAGCAAGCATCTTGTTGAGAAGAGATCTGTTAAAAACGGATCCCAAAGGGGTATGGGGGTTGCAGTGGAGTATAGATAAAAAAAATTATCCTTTTTGAGCTATTAGTACTACAAAGTTGAAACCTGGCAGAATGTTTTTTTGTTGAATAGAGATCCGCTTAGAACACGTACAAAGAAATTGATTTTTAAAGGGGAAGTGTTAATGGGGCATATAAAAAGTAAAAATCCCTATTTTCAAACTATTATACCTATAGGCTTTAAATTTAGCAAGCAAGTATCTTTTGCTGTGAAGAAAGGTTTTTGCGGAAATCAACATTCGGGGGTGTAAGAAATTCATATATTTCCAATGCGGAAATTCATGCCTTTTAAGTCAATTCCAACTTGGATCAACAAAGAAAAAATTTACTTTAGTTACTTTTTATTAAATAATTACAATTAATATAAATATGGATATACAGATGACAGAATCACAATATTAAGTGGCAAAATATAAAGCGATTTTCCTTCCAAATTTTCCATTTTACTTTCTATATATGATGTTTGACTATTATTTTTGTTTATTATTTATTCATTAATTAAATTTAATTATTCCAATAAAATAGTATAGTAAAAAGAAATCACATTCTCAGAAATTAGGCCATTCCAGATGGGATTCAAACCCACGATCTTTGCATTAGAAGTTCAACGCACTATCCATTGCGCTACAGGAACCCAACGAGCGATTTTAATTTTTATATATGGTGTTGGACTATTATTTTTGTTACTATTTATTCATCTATTAAATTGAATTAATTAGTTAACATTTAAAAAAACTGTATTAACAACAAGTGCCATCCAGTACAAGTTTAAAAACATGTATTCGAACTTGAGTGGATGAATAAAAAGTATTTTATTAACGATTGAAAATTTGAACAAGATATATATATATATATATATATATATATATATACCGGGTGGGCAAAAAGTCCGTAAAAACTTTAAAAATTCATAAAATCCGGAGAAATGAACGAAAAAAAAACTGTTTGCAGGATCAGCATTAGTATGTCACGGGATTTTTTTTAAGCTAGAAAAAAAAATAAATCGAAAATCATCCGTTAGGTGGCGCGGTTACAAGCGTCTGTGGTGGAAATATGCAAATTAGACGGCTATAAAAACCTTTGCTCTCAATGAATCCACATTCATTTCACCATTACAAACAGTGAATGTGAAAAAGGATGCTCAGTGCGCCGGATAAAGCTTTGTTGGTGAAGTTATTTTACATGAACGAGGAATCAGCGACCATTGCCTTGCGTAAATTCCGAGTTCAGAAAAATGTGGAGAGTAGAAAAGGCCCTTTAACACCTGCAGGTCTCTGCTTTTTAAACGTTTTGAGGAAACTGGAAAGTTGGAAGATCGAGCACGAGCCGGACGACCATGCTTGAAAGAAGAACGTGCACCCTGCATTGCTGTCGAAATGGAAGCGATTGCGTCCGAAGCAGCTTCAGGAACCAGCAGTGCTTGTGAAGCTGCCAGACGATTGGGTTAACCACCATCATCTGTCCGCAATATTCTTCGTCGAATCCTCCAGCTGTACCCGTACAAATTGCAATCGTGCCATGAACTTTTGCCAGCAGATACCGCACACAGGGAAGCATTTGCGAAGTGGGCTTTCTCTATAATGGAACAGGATCCCACCTGGGTTTTTAACATCTTGTGGACAGATGAAGCTCATTTCTCGCTTCATGGTGACGTTAGCAACCATAACTGTCGCATTTGGGTGACCTCTAATCCAAGTGAGTACACACAGAAGCCATTGCATTCCCCAAAAGTGACAACATGGTGTGGTTTCACGGGTTCATTTATCATAGGACCCTTCTTCTTTGAAACGCAGTGCCCAGTAAATGGACGGATAACGGAAACGTTAAATGCTCAGCTTTATCTAACGCTTCTGCGGGAGACTGTCGTGCCATGTTTAATTCAACGAGGTCAGATTTCGAATGTCACGTTCTTGCAGGATGGAGCAACCAGTCTCATTGCTAACCCGGTTAAGGCATTCCTGATACAGACGTTCGGGGAAGACAGAATCGTTAGCAGGTGCTGCAGGTAACCAAGCCTCCTCGGTCTCCAGATTTAACACCGGCAGACTTCTGGTTGTGGGGATATTTGAAATCTCGCGTGTATCTATCCGGTCCGTCAAGTCTGTCGGAACTGAAAGATGCGATCCGCAGAGAAGTATCCTCCATACATCCGGACATGTTGCACTCTGCCGTTGCTGGATTTGTCACTCGTCTGGAATGTCTTCTCCCCTGTGGTGGTGGTCATGTGGAACATATTCTGGGGTAATAAAGTTGTAAAAGTTTTCTTTTCATTATTTATGCATTGTTTCTTTGATTTGCGTACATCAGCGCCACCTACCGGATTATTTTCAAATTATTTTTTTCTGGCTTAAAAAAAAATCCCGTGACATACTAAGGCTGATCCTTCAAACAGTTTTTTTTTCGTTCATTTCTCCGGATATTATGAATTTTTAAAATTTTTACGGACTTTTTGCCCACCCTGTATATATATATATATATATATATATATATATATATATATATATATATGTGTGTGTGTGTGTGTGTGTGTGTGTGTGTGTGTATGTATGTATATATATGGAGAGTGTGTGAACTAATAGTAGGTATTGAAATATATACAGTCATACACAATCACGAAATATCCAGTGAAGCAGGTGGATAAAAGCTAGTTATTTATAAAATTTGAACAGTTTTTTTTAATTAACAAAATAAAAATTGTTTACCATGAAGGACAACAGCTAGGAATGATTTCTAATAAACAATAAACTATGTTTATTTTTATTCGAAATATACTTACTACCAATGAAAAGGACACTAAAATAATATGGTTGCTGCTAATATTGCATTCAGCGCAAACTGAAAATTTTAAATAAATGGTACTTTAAGCCATTTTAAATAGAGTATCATATCTCTTTGTTGTGAATTTGAATCCATTATATATATTTTCAAAATAAAGGAATCTTTAAATTTTGAGAATCAAGTGGAACTAAACAAATTTGCATTGAGTTTCCTTTTGTTTCGAATTAAACATAGATGAGAGAAATTATTAATTATTATTATTAATTATTTGGTTAAGGTTCAGTGTTGTATATCTTGAATTAACAAGTAAGAATAAGCAAAATAATGTTACTTTTTTCTTGATTTTAAAATGTCAAGTTCTGTTTTAGGAGATTCATTTAGAATTGGCGGTGTTTGACAATTATTATTCACTATAAAGTGAATTGAATGTTTATGAAATACTTGAAATTTAAGAAATAGAAAAATGTATATTTGTTTAAAAAACAACGTGTGCGTGCGTAAAATGAACATTGAACAGAAATTACAAAGCATAATTATTCATTTTGAAAATAATTATGAGAAAATTATTAAAATTTAGCATAGCAAAATGAAAAGAATAGAATTTTGCATCTACTACCAGAAAAAATTACAAATCATTGTATGGCTGTTTTTTTAAAAGACAAAATGTTAAATAATGTCGATAAATTTTTATGCATGCATAGTAGGAAAAATAATGAAATAAATTATTACTTTTTTTTAAAAATAATTAAATGTTGTACGATTTTGAAACGCACGCACGCACGCACGCACACACACAATGTTTTTTAATTTTTGAAAAGTGTTTGATTGAAGCTTTTAAAAAATATATCTCTAATATTGCTAAGTATTATTAACCCATTGACTGCCAACTACAAAATATCTCGTAGTTTGTGCTGAAATTTTAGATTGATTTCATTTCTCCATTTGAGTTAGGAATTATTAGAAAGGATAAATGAAAAATATATACTGTGTAAAAACCATTTTAAGTATCAATTTTTATTATTAAAAATTATAATTTAGACCAGGGTTATCCAACCCGAAAGATCTTGCGGGTCACTTTGAAAAAACATTATAATCTCGCGGGCCACACATAAAAATATGTACTTTTATATCAGATTTGGAAACAAAAAACATTTATTGAGTGAAAATTTAAAACAGAATGAATTATTACTATTGTTTTCATTATTTTTCATGTTTACAGACATAGATAATATAATAATGTTTATATAATATAATAATGCAATGATCAAATAATGTTTAAATATTACAGTTGCCATTTTCTTGAAAATTACGGTGTTCCTTTTGAGTTGATCTTTCGTTACTCATTGTTGAAATTTGATAGTGCTGTCATTCGCAAACGACTAAGTATACGTTGCCCTTTATCTTAATCTCTCTCGTCCTGAATATTTTTTTTAAACTTTAAAAAACATCTCTGATTGCCTTTTGCTCTTTGGGCTCTCCAAACAGAAAAGGAGGAGGGGAAATGAAAGTCACACACATACAGAATCAGATACCATCCGTAGTAAAGGATATGCATAGTGCAATCAGGGATTTATTAAAAAAAGTAATCTATTATACAGAAAAATCAAATGTAACTGTTTGATAAAATATAAATCTATTTTAATCCAAAGGACATTTCTATTATCAAAAAGGATTTATTTTAAAACAAGAACTGGTAACAGGCAAATATATTTTAGATTTATATATACATATCTAAAATTTCGCCTCAAATAAATTTCAAAATGAAAAAACTTTAAAAACCAGATACTTAAAATTTTTAAAAAAAGAGTCGGCGGACCACGTGTAAGACACCCCTGACTTAGACGATTAGAATATAACATAATGATTATATATATTTATGAATGTATTCCAAAAATTTAAAAAATATTTTTACTGTAGTAACTGTGTATGATATAAGCTTTATAAAGCCAAAATCACAAAGCAAAGGGCTAGGTTGTGTTGGGGGAATGCTGGACAAAAATATCTAGCCTTCTCTTATCTTTCCCCCCTTTGATTACATTCGAAATGGCTTTGTAGACATCCTTTCTTTTCTGTGAGAGGAAGATGTATTATATTATAGTTGCTGCTTTCACCAGTATTGCTGTCTTCACCATAAAAATAAATGGATAATAGCTGATTCTCTAAACTGATGTATCTTGTTATTCCATCGATTTCTTTGATTATAGAGCTTGTATGATTCTGCAGGAAGATTTCGAAATAGGTTAAAACGATTTTCTTGTATCAACAGAGGGGTTTCCTGTGGTATGCTAATTAATATACTTATCAGTTCATTTTTATTATCTTACAGTTCTTTGTATCTACCATCGTCTTATATGTTTTTCCAGTGATGATCATTACACCTGTCTGAAAATCTGACATAACATTACACATCTGACCGTAGTCAGTTGAAATTAGGTGTATCTAAGAGATATCTCGACGTATTTTTCTTTAATAAAAAGTACTGTAAATGGTACTCTGGTTTGAGTTAATAACTCAATATTATATTCTGTAGAATTTGATGTTTTCTTTAAAATAAAACCTTGGAGCCCAAGGAAAGACGCTCTAAATTTACATAACACAGTCAATAGGTTAATTTAGAATAAAATTATTCTGAATTTTTTTTAAAAAATTGTAGAAAGCTGAAGATTATTTGTGCTTCTAATATAGGTATTCAAAGGTATACACAATTTCAAATAATAACACATTAATCGATTAATTGTTGTGTTTAATATCATCTTTCGAAACTACTTGCAAGTTTTTCTTATGGACTTTGTAATATTTTATCAAGGTGAGGAGGTTGACTCTTTAGCTAGAGTTGACGAGATTGACTCCTGAGTC